CAAATGAGGTCTCACCAGCGCCTTGTACAACGGAAGCAGGACCTCCTTATCCCTACTAGATACACCTCGCCTAATGCATCCCTGCTGCACCAATGTGTTTAGAATCATAGAATATTAGGGCTGGAAGAGGTCATCTAGTCCAACCCCTTGCTCAAAGCAGGACCAACACCAACTAAATCATCCCAGCCAGGGCTTTGTCAAGCCAGGCCTTAAAAGCCTCTAAGGATGGAGATTCCACCACCTCCCTAGGTAATCCATTCCACCCACCTAGTGAAATAGTGTTTCCTAATATCTAATCTAGACCTCCCCCACTGCAACTTGAGACCATTGCTTCTTATTCTGTCATCTGCCACCACTGAGAACAGCCTAGCTCTATCCTCTTTGGAACCCCCCTTCAGGTAATTGAAGACTGCTATCAAATCCCCCCTCACTCTTCTCTACTGCAGACTAAATAACACCAGTTCCCTCAGCCTCTCCTCATAAGTCATGTGCCCCAGCCCCCTAATCATTTTCGTTGCTTTCTGCTGGACTCTCTCGCTTGGTAATGCTGTCGTCAGTCATTGCATCTCATGAAATGACATTGCCTGGGTAGCAAAATTTGTTAACAACCTCGAGTGATACATCATTGATGGACACAAGTGGAGTAGTTGCGCTACATCCTAGTCAAGTCTGGACCATGACTTCAGTCTTCTTTTGGCTGATAGTTAAGCCAAAACATTTTGTGGCAAACGCAAAGCAGTTAGTGAGCAACTGAATGTTCCTGAGGTTAGGGGCCAATAAAGCACAATAATCAGTGAACAGTAGTTCATGAATAATTGTCTTCATAACTTTTGTCTTCACAGGCAGGCAATGCATATTCAAGATACCTCCATCTGCACATAAATGCCACAATCAATGTCTCTGAACGCATCTGTTATAACAACTGCAAACATGATGCCAAATAGTGTTGGAGCAAGAACATAGCCATGTTTTACTCCATTGGTGACAACAAAGGGAGCTGAGAAAGCAGCCTTGGTGAAGGACATGAACCTGCATTTCTGCATGGAAAGATTTAATAAAGTTGACAAACTTACCGAGGCAACCGAACTTGTGGAGGAGTGTCCACAGACAGGCCATCTCAATTTACAGAGACAAAGGCCTTAGTAAGATGGGAAATGGGCAGCAGACAGAGCTCCTGAAATGGGGAAGAAGTGGGTAAGAGGGTGCACACAGAGCCCCTGCCCTGGAGGGGGAGAAGGGGGACAATAGAATGGACGAGGGAGGAAGGGGGCACACAGAGCCCCTGCCATTCAGACAATGGGGCATGGAGGATGTTGGACTGGGTGTTCATGCAAAGCCACTAGCATGGGGAAAAATGGGGGATTCTGGTGTGGAAGGACGAGGGTATGGAAGCACACAGAGACCTTAGCTGGGGTGTTCAGGGAATCCCTGCAATAGAGGGGGATGGGAGGGTGGCATCCAGGGAGCTGTTGGGGAGAGTGGAGGGATGCAAGGAGCCCGTGGGGTGCAATAAGCTCAGCTGACACAAGCAATAACACATACAACCCCCTAATAAAAACCCCTTAGTCCCTAGGAAGAAGAATTTCTCTGGGGGCAGGCATTGCATAGGGCAAGCCCTACAGAGGCTTTCTTACAAGCCCTGGGGGCAGAAGGGGGGGCAGGGCAGGAGCATATTTCATATTTAATATACTTATATGGCCCCTACCATCCTAGTATCTGAACACCACACAGACTTTAATGTATTGATTCTCACATACCCCTATGAGGCAGGGCAGTGCTATTATCCCCAGTGTATGGATGGGGAAAGTGAGGCACAAAGCGACTGAATGACTTGCCCAAGGTCACACAAGCAGTCTGTGGCAGAGCAGAGAATTCAGTGTGGGTCTCCAGATAACACCCTAACCACGGAGCCAACTTGCCCAGCCTCAGTGCACACCTCTATGGCCACTCTGGGTCACAGGGCTGCCATAACCCTGGGGTGCCTAAATTATGCTAGGGGCTGTTCTGGCTCCTGATCGGCCCAGAACCAAGAGGGGCACAAAAATGATTTAAAGTCATCTTTGCTTCCTCTCCCCTGGGCTGGGCCATGCAGTCCCTCCCACAGTCTTAAGCATCTTGAATCAAAATAATTCCCTGTCTCAATCAGTTTTCACATTAGCCCCGCTCTCCTCCTCCCTTTTTCTCCTTTCCACTTTCTTTATACATTACAGAGAAGTAAAGAAAGTCACGCTCAATTTATTTTTTCCCTGCAGTTCACCACTAAGGATCCAAACCTGAAAGGTGCTGAAATCCTGTGGCTTTCATAAGAGTTGGGGATCAGTCCCTCCCAGAATCAGGCTGTCAGCTGGATCTGTAAAGGGACCCAGTCATACACTTTGGATTGGAAACAAACAAACACAACTCCAAATGCCAAGGTCCTGACGCTGCAATGAGCCCTGTGCAGGCAGATCCAGGGAATCTGTGGGGGCACAGGTTTCAGAGTAGCAGCCGTGTTAGTCTGTATCTGCAAAATGAAGAACAGGAGTACTTGTGGCACCTTCAAGACTAACAAATTTATTAGAGCATAAGCTTTCGTTGACTACAGCCCACTTCTTCGGATGCATATAGAATGGCAGGGTTCCAGTTGCATGCCTGGGATCCCAATTTCCTTCCTTGCCTTAGCAACTGGCCTCTGAAATGATTAAACCAGAAGGAATTTTAACAGCTTTCTGATGGCATGTTTGTTCTGGGCCTTTCCCTATGTGAAAGCAGACAAGGCACCTGGGGCACCAGGCAATCCCTGGTCAGTTTCAGCCTCAGTTTCTCAAGCGCTTGGTTGCAAAGGCTGGCTCTCTGAACAATTCCCATCTGATTACAAGCTGAAAAAATGGCAGGAGAGGTTTCTCTGAGCTCTTTGGTTTCTGAGCAGGGCCGAGCCTGGGGCCCAGTTTGGCCTGACTGTGTCATACAATCATAGAAGATCAGGGTTGGAAGAGACCTCAGGAGGTCATCTAGTCCAACCCCCTGTCTCTTTAATTGTTGAAGCTGGGTGGATCCCAGGACATTAGAGAGACAGGGTGAGGGAAGTACTGTAATAGCTTTGACTGTCCCAACTTCTGCCGGCCACAGAGACCAGCTCACCCTACCTCACCCATCTTGTCTCTCTCCTAGCTCTTTAAGAGACTGTGGGGCAGCAGATTCTTGCACAGGTAAAGTGGGAGGCTCCCATTTTCCCCCTCCCCCTCCCTCTCCTTCTGTCTTTCCTCCCTCCTCCCTTCCTCTGTATGTCATTGGGGATTAGCAGCTGGGGCCAGGCCAGCTCGGCAGCGCCTGGCAATCCGCTGCGCACGGCCGCACGCAGAGGCAGAGAGACCAAAAATAAACAACGAGGGGACGGACCTTGAGTTATTTTTTTCTGGTCTAATGAGCCTCCCACCCCCTTTCTAGCCTGGGCGGGAAGAAGGCGAAGAACCGTCCCCCGGGCCTCTGCGGGCGCTAGGACTTCCTGGAGCGACGCCGGGCGTCTGGGAAGAGCCGCTGGGAGCCTTCACCTGCTCGGAGGAGCTGCGGGGCGCCGGGGCACCATGAAGGATCGGCTGGAGCAGCTCAAAGCCGTGAGTCACTGGAGGGGGGGCTCGATCCCTGTGCCCCGGGGCTGATGCTAATAATAAGACCCAGCTCTTCTGTAGCGCTTGGGGGGCTCGATGCTATGGTGATACTGAGAGTGGGAAGTGCCGGGGGAAGGGGGCATTCGCTGGCACTTGTGGTCCCCCCCCGCTTCCTGCGCTTTTGAGTATCCCCCCCACCCTAGCTACACCCCCAGCTCCCTGGTCTCTCCTGTATTCCCCCTTCTCCACACTCAGCCCCCCCCACTCCCAGCTCCCTGGTCTCTCCTGTATTCCCCCTTCTCCACACTCAGCCCCCCCACTCCCAGCTCCCTGGTCTCTCGAGTATTACGCAGCCCCCCAGCTCCCTGGTCTCTCGAGTATCTCTCCACACTCGGCCCCCCCCCCCCCGCCATCTCCGGTTTCTCTAGTATCTCTCTCTCCCCCTCCTCCCCCCAGCTCCCTGGTCTCTCCAGTATACCCACACAGCTCCACAATCACCCTGCCCCCCACCAGCTCCCTAGTCTCTCCAGTATCCCCAACTCACCCCCACAATCAGCTCCCCCACCCCCTCTCATCTCTCTGTTCTCTCCAATATCCCCACAAAAACAAAGAGGAGTCCAGTGGCACCTTAAAGACTAACAGATTTATTTGGGCATAAGTTTTGGTGGGTAAAAAGCTCACTTCTTCAGATGCATGGAGAAGTGGGTATTTTACCATGCATCTGAAGAAGTGGGTTTTTTACCCTTGAAAGCTTATGCCCAAATAAATCTGTTAGTCTTTAGGGTGCCACCAG